ATACATACATACATACACACACACACACACACACACACACACACATGTACATACATATACAAAAAACACACCCAAGTAAATATACTAGGTTATGGCCAGCAACATTGTGTATGTTTTTGTAGACATTTTATAGGGACGATAACAGGTTCATTTTAATATAATGTTTTTACAATATTTCCAGTTATGGGACTTATTACACTTTGCCAGAAATCAAACATACATCAAAAGCATAATTTTATTTATAAAGTCAGCAACAACACACTACACAGTCTGAATGTAATTTATGGACATTTACATTTAGAAGCACTGCTCTTTTTGGCAATGAGAAAAAGAGCCTGAGGGCGAAAAGCTTTAAGTTCCTAATAAAGTTTGTTAAGCGAACATTGTAGCAGATATGCCTGAGTGAAATTTTGCAAATGCCAGCCTATTTCCATTGGACCTTGCTGAGGAAAAGCACTTGCCAATAAGAAATTTAATTTACTGGAAAATAACATCTGGATGGAGTCTGCTCTCATCAAATTAGAGGGCACAGAGTATGTGTGTGTAAAATGGAAGATACACCAACAACATGCACTGATAGGGAATGTAGACCCAGTTCATAATAATTGTTTATGTGTGTTTTTAAAGCATATGAATGTAATATGCAGCATGATCAGTGTGTTCATTTGACATGATGGAGGCTACCATATTAGACGTTTCTGCGACACTTAAAAGAATACACTAATTTATGAAAATACAGAATAAGAAATTACAAAATAATATTTTTCTGAGAACAGAGTGACACAGTACATGCTTCATAGATTTATAACACTGAGAACAACGAAACAGGATTTTATTTATTTTTGCAATGATTAATGCACTTTGCTCAGTGCATTATTGCATAGGCACAATAGTTATTCTGACTATATACAGAGAGATCAATAAAACATTCAAGATTTCAGCATTCTGAAAAGAATTTGCAGCCACCAGCTATTGCCTATAATTTTCACTGACCTTCGATCTTTTTTGTCACGTGAGTGACATTATTTTATTATTTATTTTTAATGTAGGCTCGCTACATTGTAAATATATTGCTTTTGTTCCACATCTAATCAGTAACTATAAAAATGATTTAGCGCTCAGGCATGCCTTTTCCAGCATGCTAGGAGACTTGATTGTGAAGGATATTTCTTCATCTAACATATGCATATGTTGGTTAATTAGCATTTTTACTTGCGAGTTGTACTAAGAGTTGTACTAAGAGTTGTACTAAGATAAGACCATTGGAATAAACTAGAATTAGCCATCTGAGCAGTAAATCATATCTTATGGCCAGATGTATATGTTTATTTGTAACATACAACTATGCATGTATATCTGTAAAAAATAAATCATGGCAACTGGACTTCCTGTGTTTTTCTTGAAAACATTTCGCTGGTCATCCGACTAGCTTTCTTAATAATAGATGCCTTGATTTATTTTTTACAGATAGACCATGACCTGGATAAATGAGAACCTTCACAGACACAACTATATATGTAGATAGTGAAAAAAAACAGATATACAACAAGTTTAAATACTTACAAACCCGCCCATTGCCTGCTGTCAATCAGCATGGGAGGACCTGATAGAGAACTTTCTCCTTTAGGGCCCTCCTTTACTGATTGACAGCAGGCAGTGGGCAGATGCAATAGCCAGCCTGCTTTTGGTTATTGCAATTTGAAATATCCAACAGCAGGCTGACTATTGCTCCCAGCAATAAAGTTAAAAAAGAAAGTTTAAAAAAATAAAGTTAAACTAAAATTAAAAAAAGAAGAAGACAAAAAACATTAAAAAAATAAGTTAAAGAAAAATTAAAAATGCAAACAAATAAAAGTTTAAGAAACTAAAATTAAAAATGGAAAAAAAATTTTTTTGGTGTGTCATTTTAACCACTTGTTGTCCGGGGCATTTTCTTACTATTTGCACACACATGATAAAATATAAATTTCTGTGCAAAAGTTTATCAAACCGTATTTTTAGAAAAAAATAAACTAAATAAAAATTTAGTGCACACAAACAGAATATAGTACCCAATTCTTTGGTAAAATATGAAAGACGGGGTCACGCCGGGTAAATAGACACCAACATGTCAAGCCTTAAAATTGCGTTCGCCCATGAAGCCGCAAAAAAAAAAAAGGCAATACCCCAAATTTCCCATAGGGAACATTTTAAACGCTTTTACCGCTCATCAGTTTAGTGCTAACAGTGGTTGACAGCGATAGAATGATTGCTCTCACTGTGACGTTCACATCGACATGTAACATGTGTAGCGCAATTGTCCTTTTAGCACGCAGACGCATCGACGTGTGTTTGCTCGTGGGGGGCGGGGGACTTAAATTTTGTTTAGCTTTTTTTATTTTTATTTTATGTTACTTTAATTTTTATAACTTTTAAACACATTTTTTTTTTTTTTTTTTACACTAACCCTGGAAGCCGCTGAATCTCTCTCCGCACGGTACAAATGATCTGGCGCCTGTACAGACGCCGGATCGCTTGTACATTAACATCCATCGCCTCCTGTTAAAAGTAGTACCAAGAACTCGGCTGCTGCAGCAGCCGTGTTCTTGTTTTAACCCCTTTAACGGGCCGAGGTCTATAGACTATTGCGGCCCGGAAGTGGTTAAATAAAAGGTTGTTTTGTTTATTATATTGGCTTATTTTTACAATTCATATTAT